TGTTTTTTATAATGCTGTAAAGAAATTCAACTTCCATATCAACTGTCTATTTACATATTAAACGTAAATTATTTCATCAAAAAGTAAATAACGTTGAGTGAAATATAGGCGTACCTAGCATCGCACACGAACTCTAATAAAATAATGGGTTGAATGCTTCCAACAACAAAATAAGCCTATAATAATCTCTTAAACTTAAAATCATACTCTTAAAACTTGAATAAATGCAAGAAAACAAACGTTCCATGGAAGCATAACTTCATTATCAATCAATTAAAGCATAATATAATGCTCATATCAATATTGCCCGTCTTTCCAGAAGTAGCGCATGCGCATAAACCAACCTTGTCTTTGACTTCATAGACAGAATCTCGTTTTTCCGAGAAAGTAGAGAAAAGTCAAATATTCTCTGGCTACGGGTTCACGGTCGTAGAAGATTGCGGTAATGCGACGCGGGTTCCAATCCCAGAAGTGGCTGGGGGACATTTCGGTATCGTGATCGGTCACGCCAACCACAGTCGCCAAGGTGCTAAATAGTACCTTTTGCACAAATTGCACTTTTTTTTTTTTTTAATTTTATTTTATAATCGTCGTTGAACAGCCGACCCAATTTTTTGGGTTTACGACTGCTAACGTTCAACTCCGTAGCCTTGTAATTTTGAATCCAATCCAGAAGACAAGGAAGCTCCTGGATCAAGTATTGGGATAATTTTGCCTTAGTGACGGACTTTTTGATGGAGCTAACCCGCATTTGCGTTAAATGGAGAGGAAAACCTCCAACGGTTAGCCTGGCGCAAGGGGGTTCTAACATATGATCCGTCTACCACTGAGGATATTTTACGTTAGCACTGCGGTCGGTGCGAGCCAGTTGCGGAATTTCTATTGACCAGCCATAGCTGGGATTTGAACAGAATTCACCTCATTGGAAGTCAAACGTTCTATCCCCACGGCTCTAAAAAAATGTTAATGTTTTCCCGGAGGGGGTGGCTACAAGTTATACCTTTCGTTTATGTTTTTTTTTTCTTGCAGGTTGTTGCCCGGAAGTTTGCCAAGATTTGATAACTATTCTGCCACTGATCACGATTAGGAAATATTCCCGATGACTGATCGATACGATTCCCGCACCCGACTCGCAACGACCACAGTGCTGACGTAAAATATCCTCAGTGGTAGACGGATCATGTGTTAAAGTCTCTTTGCCATTAAGCTAACCGTGGGAGGTTTTAGTGATTTTTACTTTCCATGTAACGCAAATGCAGGTTAATTCTATCAATAAGTCCTCCATGAAAACAAATTTCTACCAATAACTGATCCAGGAGTTCCCTTGTCTTCTGAATTAAGTTCAAAATTACAAGGCTTTGGAATTGGACATTGGTAGTCGTAAACTCAAACTTTGGTCGGCTGTATAACGACAGTTAAAAAAAAAAGCTTATGAGCACGAACTAATTTAAGTTTCTCTTGACTATTTTCAAAAACAATTCTCATGGAAATATTGAGTTTGAGTTTTTACAAATTACGCAGATTTCAACTTCAGTTTCATTCATTAAGAGTGCTTTCGATTTGTTCGAAATAGAAAATTTCTTGTTTACATTAATATTACTTTTGAATAATGTGTTTCTATCAAAACTGACTCACATTGTTCTAAGAATTGAATGAATTCTTCAAATGTAGATACATATTTTGATTTATGCCGATAATGCCAATTTTTTTCCTACATTATTTTTTCAATTTTGACACTAGAATACGAATAAGAAAAATATCTAACAATTTATTCTGTTCATTGTTCAACCTTAAATCATACTCCAAATTTCTTAAGCACTTTCAAATTGCATTTTTTTTAAATTCTAGATACCTTCCTTGCACATGAGTATCTACCATTTATCGCTCATGATCATATCGAGATTCCAAAAATTCGTATTAAGATTTAAAGTTATCAAAGTTATTAGTTATTTGTCATTATATCATCAAATTGAATTTTAAAAGAACTGAACTCTACGTATTTTTCTGAAAATTCAGGCAAAACTACAGAAAGTTTCATAGCTTTGATTTCTAAACTTTTCAACTATATTATTCGTTTTCACGGTATTTAAATTATGAGAATTTATTATTATTTGAATTCTTACCCCTAATTTCTCAAAACGATCTCCACAATTATTTAAATCGTCTTCTATGATAGTTTCTTTTATGTCCTTTACTCAGTAATAATCATTTTACATCCACTTTTTTTCTTTTTGAAGTGAGTTAACTTTTTGAGCCATTGCATCTTTTTGAATCTATTATATGTACTACTTACGGTATTTACAATGGTGTAAGATTTATAAGTAATTATTAAAACTATGAGCTGAAATTATATTCTGAAATTGTAAGCTCACATCCTTTTGAACTGTCAAACTCAAACTACCCACTTTATTAAAAGCCATCTGGCTCGAAGTTGGCGAGACCGTCTAACGCAAACTCGCCAACATACCTTGTCAAAAGTAAATTGAGAATCTCTTGAATGGATAAGAACTTGGAATCATATTAAAAATTAAAAACGGCAATTTGCAAACAGAGTTGCACAAACGTTCCAATTAAATGTATTATTCATGATAGTGTTTGTTCTTCTTCATTATCATGATTTAAGTTTTTGCATACCTTATAATTTTATCTTATCAATAGTATAGTTATCAAGTGTACAAACACAAACACGGTTTTTTCTATTCAATTCGTTTCTGTACTCGCATTCTGTATTCGTTCTGTATTGTCAGAAATATCTATAATTGGTTATTATGACAAACTTTCCTCTAACCCCCCGCTATTACAGCGCCTCTAGTGGTGAAATAAGACAGTCTGCTAGGAACCGCCGTCATGTACGTACCCTTAACCCCTCTTCCAAATTCTTGTATTTTTTTTATTCTTGTTTTATTTTATGCGTGTTTTTCAATAAATATTTAGAGTTAGTTAATTTCTGATCTTTATTTTTTTATTAATTGGTTAAAATACAAATAAACCCAGTCTCCCCTACATTATGAACATTGAAGCAATGATTTTTATTTTTCAATTTAGTTAACTGGTATATACGAGAGTNTATATAAAGATGAGAGTGCATTCCAAAATTTATCTTAAAGTTGACGGTCTCAGTAGATGAGAGGTATCCGTGAAATTTTTGAAATGATTCTTATTTTTATCTTATTTATCTATATAATGTTACCTTTAAGACTCGATAACCGTCAATTATCAAACTAATCTACAGATAAATGCAATTCCAACCGTTACAACTCAAAAGTTTCATTTTATTAACTAATTTGCTGATTGTGTTTGAATGACTGAATTCTTTAGATATTGCACTAAATGTCTGCCACAATATTTATTTCCTTATTTGTAAAAATATTTCACAATATTTGATTCTCTGTTACATAATTTTTGAGGAGATTAATGACTGATTCTATCAACGAATATATTGATTGTGTTTGAATGCAATAACTTGATAAGAAAGAAAAATAAATAAATGTCAATCTGTCAGTTTAATCCCTTAACGATCGGTTAATTTTCAATAAAACGGTCATAAAAGTGACTATTTTTTTTATCCCTGAAAATTATATAAAAATATGTGTATGAACAATACATATATTCATTTTTAACTTTTGATTTGTTTTTATCTTGAAATTTAAAAAAATTTAATTTTTTGGAAAAGTCAACATTCAGGGATACTATGACTTAATGTTGGTTTTCCAGCAAGCAAGGAAAATTTAACAAAATATGTGTTTTAAATATTAAAACAGAATTTTATTAAACTTACGTAAAATATAAATAAAGATTAGTAATTTTTTCTTGTGTGATAAATTTCAAAGCATGAGATACAGAGGCCAAAGTCACAATCTGAGTCACGTCAACGTCACAACGTCACGCACCGAGTTTCCTTCCTACATCTCTTATTGTTTTCATCTCTCTGTACCAATCTACAATTACCTAAAAAAATATCCTGGTACTGCCATCTTGTGTGTAAAATGAGAAATAAAATGTTTTCCATGCAAAAGAAATGAATTAGTTTTATTCTTATTGACGCGTTACTACAGAACACTCCAGCCCGGAAATATCATGGGAATGAGAAATAGAGGGCGAATCCTCACCCCGTCATTTTCACGAGAGCGAAACGATGCTGTTGTTCCAAGTAAGATTTAATTTTCACTTAACGAAAGCCTAATGTGCAGGAGACATTTGGACAATGGATGACCTTAGATAAAAAATAAAAAAATTAAAAAATTAAAAAAAAAACCTGTGAAATAACTTATTTCAGCACTTCAGGGTCTACAGTCATTTATTTTGATAAGTCTCTTAATTCCGAAGATTTCAGGTCCATGAATGCTACAAGTGAGGGGGAAATTGACCTTGATTCGTTTTCATTACTTACCGTCAACGTACTAACTTTAAAACTCATTTACACGAACTCTCTAAAAATTACACTTAAATCCTTTATCTAATCAGCCTTCAGTTAAAGGCCATTTTTGGAGCAAAAATGAGTTTTTAAATTCAGGTATAAGATCTAGTTAGTTAAATTAATGTTCTTAGTAAAGCAACATGGACAAAACTTCAGTCGAAGAAACATTTTTACTAACTGATATAACCGATTATCGCATGAATTCAATTGATAGACAGAAGAAAATAACAGTCCTTCAAATAAATTTTATTTTATAATTGCTTTAAACAAATAGTAATACAATTTTCACATTGAAATTTCTAACGTTCTATTTTTCTATATTTTAAAAATCTTGAATCATAACAAGTATTTACTAATTTTAGGAATACGTTAAATATTTATTCCTATATATTCCTTGTTAGAATTTAAGGAAAAAGTATAAAACTCTAAAAGGATCTCTCTCTTTTGAATTTAACTTTTTTTTAAAATATTGCCTTTTATAATAAACTAATCTAAAATTTAAAAGAAATGCAATTCCAGAAAATATCTTTAAAACACCGAATTCGAAAACAAGAAAACTAATTTTAAAACTAAAAATTTTCAATTTTTCAAGAAAAAAAACTTTTATAAATTAATAATTATTTCATTTGATTAAGGTTTTGGTATAGCTTCAAAACTTGATGGTTTGCAAGTGGAATATACCGCCAGGCGATGTTCACCGGCTAAGATGGAAATAAACTCTAATAACTTGGAGTATGTTAGAGCATTGATGGAGTCCAAATATCCGAACAGACCACTAATTACAGCACGGGCTTGAGATTGTGAACTTCCATCTGCTGCCGATACTCCTTTACTGACGTTTGTCAAGTATGGCTCGATGTATTCTTCCTTGTCATC